CGCCGCCGCCGCCGCCGCCCCCGCCCCTGCCGCCGCCGCCGCCGCCGCAGCCGCAGCCGCCGCAGCCGCCGCCACCGCCGCCGCAGCCGCCGCCGCCGCCAAGTGTACTTTGTATTGTTGTTTGACAGGGATGGTGGGGGGGGCCGTATCGGGTTGGCTGCGCATGTTCCAAATTTGGAGGCAGAGTGTATTTTGTATTGCTTTTTACAAAAGATGGTGGGGGGGGGTCGTCATGGACTCGGGTTGGCCCCCAGTCGCATGGGGGAGGGGGTGTTTATTAATAGGGAACAGTGATAAACCCCTCCCCGAAGGGGAAGAGGGAGGGGTGGAAGAGGAAACGCCCCAAACCGCCGACGCCCGGAGGGCTGGTGGGATTCCATGATGGGATTGTTAGGGTGTCCACTGTCGTGGCATAACTTCACGTATCCCCCACCCCCGCCCCCGGCGAACTCCCGGGAAAGATCCTTTGTTTTTTTTTGAACTCGCCCGTTTTGCGGCCGGCGCGCCTCGCGGGGCACAGTCTTCCACGCCCACCCTCCCCCCGCGGGGCCAGAGAATCGCGGAAGACGTTTTGTGGCATTGGTCACCGGCATAGTTTCCGCTCGCCAACCGCCCCCCGCTCCCCCATGCGGCACCCGCAGTTTCGTCGCCGTCGTCGGTCGTCGTCGCCGCCGTCGTCGGTCGTCGCCGTCGTCGCCAGGCCCTGCGCGCCCTCCCGCCCCCTATGGGGTGTCCGCAATTCGTCGTCGTCGTCGTTCATCGGCGTTCGTCGGCGTCGTCGCTGGGCCTTTCGATGCACCCCCCCCTCCATGGGGCATCCGCAGTTCGTCGTCGTCGGCGCTGTTCGTCGCGGTCTCGGGGGTTCCCCTGGGGCGGGGTCTGAGATCAGAGAGATCACCACAGACACTGCAGAAATCACCCCTGGGGGTCCCACTATGGAAACCACAGAGATCACCACGCGCGCGGACGCGCGCAGGTGACCATGGTCACCCGCTGGCGTGCGTGCGTAGAACGCTCTGCTTTGTTTGGGATAGATACGTCGCCATGTTGTCCTTGTAGCCCAAGGGAACAACCACTTTACAGTGACCGATTGCTTTTCCAAGGGCGCATATTGTTCGTAGGTCCTGTGCTGTAGAAAGCACGGAGAGCCCCGCGCGCGCGGACGCGCGCGGGTGACGGTGGCCACCCGCCTGCGTGCGTGCATAGCGCGCTCTGTATTGTTTGGAATAGTGGGGTCGCCATGTTGGCCTTGAAACTCAAGCAAACACTTGGCGGTGACCGATTGGATTTGCAAGTTAACATGGGTTGTCTTGTATGGCATGTACTATAGGCATCACAGAAGGTAACACATAAAGTACTTGTCCCGGGCAGCGGAGCTGGGGAAAGGTCCTAACATGTCTCGTAATTGAGTTGCATTTTAAATTCGACCCTGTCCTCAGAGCCCGGATGTGCGGGGAATGAGGGTGGTACGCTATCTCGACCCTGTCTTCGTCTGGGGAATGCGCAAAAGGTGCCGTGTTCGCTTGCCGCGCCGTGCCGCGCGTAGTGGCTGCAGTGCGACGCGTTGCCGCCGGCGTGCCGTGTGCACTCGCCCGCGCGCCGTGTCTGCTCGTGTGTCGTGTGCCGTGCCGTGCTCTGTCTGTGGAGCTCGCAAGAGCTGCCGCCCGCGTGCCGTGCCGTGCGTTGGCTTCCGGGTCGCGAGAAGAATGCCACCCGCGTGCCGAGGCCGTGCCGTGCCGATAGTTTCTAGGACGGCCGAGCCAGCTGCTGCGTACACGCCGTGCTCACGAGCCGCGCCGTGGTGTGCGTGATTTTTTGGGGGCGCGAGATTAACTCGCGGCGCCGTGCCTGGCGTGGCCTGCCGTGCCATGCCTGGCTTCTGGAGTGCGGCACGGGTGCCGCGCTGTGCCGCGTCTGCTCTCTCGAGGCCTGCGAGAAGGTCACCGTGTGCCGTGCCCGCGGGCCGCGCCGCGCTGTACCTGGCTGCGGGAATGCGAAGTCTATAATTAATCGGCGATTCCCAGGAAATATGGGAAAATATGGGAAGTGGGGGGGAAGACAAAAACCCAGAAACTAGGGGGAAATATGGGGGATATTTTTATTTGTGTGTATTTATTTGTGTGTCCTGGGGCCCCTTCACTATCACTCGGGGGCCCCCAAACGGGGTGGTGAGCACACCGTGTGGTGAGTCGGTGGGGATTCGGGGTCGCCGCACGGTTTTGGGGCTCGGGTCGTTCTCCGAGGACGTCTCGGGCGGCTGGAGCCTCCAGGGTCCCAGAACCGTGCGCTGACGGACCGTGCGGTGAGGTCTTGAGGGATTTCGAGGTCACCGCACGGTCTGTCACCGCACCGTTTCGGGACTCCCAAATCACGCAGCGTTGGTGTTCACGGCCCATGTGCCGGTGCACATGGAAAGCCCACGAGGCGCACGGTCCTGGAGCAGCAAACCGCTTCACGCTGCCTCCGAAGAATTGTGTGTTGTTGGGCTCGTTCCCAAAGACGCCCGGCACTTCCACGGGCCGACCCAGACGTGAGCAAATGGCGCGGGCATGGTGCATTGTTTCTGGTTTTTCCGGTGGACAAGACAATGAGCAGACCGCCCAGGACCTTGTGCGAAGCCAAGGTCGGAGGAATTGTTTGTCTTACCCCGCTCGGCCCGAACGCACGCCAGACCTGTCAGCGTTCGTACCCGAACGCGTTTTCGGGCCAGCTCCGCGAGGCCCGCCTGGTTTCCTTATGGCAGCGCGCTTGAAGTCTTGCAGCTGCGATGCCTTGAGTTAAACGTAATGCTTTTTCGGAGCGCCGATGGGCATCCGAACGCAGGAGCAGTGCATCTCATGTGTTTTCATGAGTGCGGGAGGCTGGGCCGCCATGGCCATTCTTGGTCAGACCACGGGGCGCACGTCGCTACCGCGTCGGATGGCCGCGGCTCGAATACCTTCGGCCGCGCAGTCAGACGGGCCGGCGGGGGCACACATCGCCGTAACAAGAGTACGATGTGGTCTGCGTGCAAGATGGCTGACGATTGGTGGAGCGGGCGGGTAGCATTTCTTCCGCGCGGACACGCATCCCGCCCCATATTTCATGATATGATGGTCGGAATAGTTCCCGATCCTGTTTTGAGATACCAGAGTCGCGCATTCAGAGGATCAGAATTGCTCCGCTGGAGCGCTGGGGCCATCTGCGCATGCCAGGAATCTTCAGAGGAACAGGAGATTCCAACATCGTACCAATCCGCGCAAACTTTCGTCACGGCACTGCGTGACGTCATCGCGCGGCTAGAATATTCGTTCTGGGCATATAGATGTAAAGGTTGAAAAGGACAAGGCTGCAGGGGCCCGCGGGCCCAGAAAGCAGCCAAGCAGACCCAGAGGCTGGAACATCGGGGGGAGGGGGACGGAGAGGGAGTCAATAGGGAGAGAGGGGGCGTGGAAGAAAGGAGAGTTCGGACGACCTTGCAGGCATCTGGCGCCGTCTTCGAGCTCATCTGAGGGCATTTGGGACCCCTCTACTTCCATCGCCTTCGTCGTCGCTGCCTGCAGGGTCGGCGGCATCGGCCGTAAGGCCTTCGCAATAGGGAGAGAGGGGGCATGGGATCGCAGGCCTCGAGATTGACACCAACACCAATATCGGCGGCGTGCCTCCACCGAGGGATGAGGATTCCGGTCTCGGTGATGGTGGTAATATTTTGGCTTCCAAGGTGGCCGAAGTATTACCACCAACACCGAAATCTAGGATCATCTTCCCCCTGTGGAGGCAACCCCCTGTGTTGGTGTTGGTGCCAATTTCCAGGCCTCCAATGGGAGAAAGGAGCGAGGAGGCGGAGCCAGACAGGAGATGGGATAGGACAGGGTGCAGGATCGGCAGCAAGAGGGAGGAGAGGAGAGGAGAGGGGAGGCGAGGAGAGAGAGGAGCCACGGTAGAAGCAAAGGCAGGACCGCACAGGACAAGACAGGGCCATGACATGAGAGGAACGGACTCGAGGGGAAAAAGCACCGTGGGAGGCAGGACTGGAGCAAGAGGAGGGGGGGCAGAGGCGGCAGGATTGAAGACGGGTGCTGGGGATCCTTTCTCGCTGAGGTGCCTCGGTGAAGGATGAGACGCTGGCTGCGGGCAAGCAGCCTTTTTTGAGCACCAAGTTCCAGGCCAGGCCCGCCCCTGGCTACCCTAGGCCCGCCATGCACCAGGGTCTTTGTGCGCAAGAATCGGGAAAGGACGACGACGTTCAAGAAGAGGCGTTGAAGGGAGGGAGCTGGCCAGCCAGCCATGTTCGACGTGCTCGAAAAGAGAGGGCACGGGGTGGGTGGAAGGGGGTCGAGACGTGTTGCCTGCATTCTGGGGCCCTTCCCCCTGCCCCTGCGAGTTCCTCAGAGCGTGGTCCTCCCAGCGCCTCGAAGCGCCTGGAGGACCCCAGCGCGCGCACTCTTCTGCCAAAACGCAGGGCCAGAGACCACTCTGGGTTCAGGAGGGGCTCTGGCTCCCGGGCCGCCCCTTGAGTCCAGGTCGGGGAGCCTGGCCGTGGCCGAAGCTCGCCCTGACCAAAGACACCCATGGCTCCCTGTACTCGGCGGCCCTCTTGGTCGCACTACAGTCGGGGCCCTGAAGAAGGAACCCTTTTCGTTGAGGAGGGGCTCCGCGTTCCTTAAGTTTTTCACAGCTTGCTTCAGGTTTTCCTTATGCTTTCGATAGGAAATCGAAGTTTAACTTATGGAAAAAAAGGGGCCTCGTTCGCCCCGGCGCCGGTTCCCCATCGCACCCGGGCCGCCCGCGCCAGGGCCGGTGCTCGGCCGGGCGGGGGGCAGGGCCGCCGCGAGCTCTCGGTCGACTCGACGGGTGCTTGCCGAAGTACGGAGGTGTGGTTTCGGTTCCCCTCTCCCAGTCCCCATGTCCTCCCTCTTCTCCCTCTTCTCCCCCATTTGCCCTCCCCCTCCGTATCCCCTTGTCCTCACGGGGGGGTCTTGCGACGACGATGAGAAGGAGGAGGAGGCCGAGAAGGTCGAGGAGGTCGAGGAGGAGCACGAACAGGAGAAGTGGAAGGACGAGCTTCAGGCGGAGGAGGAGGGGTAGGAGGGAGGAAGGGAGGAAGAGGGGGGCAAGCATGAGGAAGCGGAGGAGGTCGACGAGACGGCTGAGGAGAGGGGAGGGAAGGGGGAAGGAGGATGACGAGGGGGAGGGGAGAGGAGGGAGGATAAAAAATGGAAGGAGTGGGGGGGATGGAGGAGGAGGAGGGAGGAGGAGGAGGAGGAGGAGGAGACAGAGAGGACGGAGGCATGGAGGATAGAGGAAAATCAGGAGAAGGTCGAGAAGCAAGAGGAGGAGGAGGAGGAGGAGGAGGAGGAGGAGGAGGAGGGGGGAGGAGGGAGGGGGAGGAGGGGGAGGGGGAGGGGGAGGGGGAGGGAGGAGGAGGAGGAGGAGGAGGAGCGAGGAGGAGGAGGAGGAGGAGGAGGAGGAGGAGGAGGAGGAGGAGAGGGACGGGGAAGAGGCAATCGAGGAAGTGGAGAAGGTCGGCGACGGTCGTCCTCGTCCGAGTCTTGCCCGGTTTCGTCGCTCGCCCGCCAGCGCCCGCCAGGTAGGCTCCTCCAAGAGCGACAAGATCAATTTCTCGCAGGCGCCCCCAGCCGCTACCACGACCGTCTTCGCCTTCGGTCGTCTTCGCCTTCCGTCGTCGTCGTCGTCGTCGTCGTCGTCGTCCGTCGTCTGCTGTCTGTCGTCTGTCGTCTGTCGTCGTGTCGCTCTTCGTCCGTCGTCCATCTTCATCGTCAGTGTTGGTCGTCGTCGTCGTCGTCGTCGTCGTCGTCGTCGTCGTCGTCGTCGTCGTCGTCGTCGTCGTCGTCGTCGTCTGTCGTCATCATGGTCCCCGTGCTCGTCCTATTGATGAAAATGAATGGTCGCACAATGCCCCAAAGACGTCGAAACCAGGTCTCGTCACAGCACAGAGACCCACGCCATCACCACCGACGTCCACGACCTCCTCCGCACCTCGAGCAGCTGCGCGCCCCGGCCTGGAGCTGCGCGAACACAAAGAAGGCCGCGAATGCCGACCTGTCGATCTGCGGCCCCCGATCGAGGCGGGCGTTGCCCATCGTGGCGGACCAGCGCGCCGAGCCAGCGCGCCGCGCAGCCCCAGCCGCCCTCTCGGGCGCAGAGGGGCAGGGCGCGCCACCGCGGCTCGCCGCCCCCTCCGCGGAGGGGGCCGCCGGCGGGGCGCCGCTGCTCGGCCCGCCCGAGCTGGCCACCCGCCGTGGAGCGCGCGGCCCGCGGCGGATCACCCAGGACCCTCCTCCTCCTCCTCCTCCTCCTCCTCCTCCTCCTCCTCCTCCTCCTCCTCCTCCTTCCTCCTCCCCTCCCATCATCATCATCTTCCTCCTCTCCTCATCCTCCCTCCTCCATCCTATCCTCCTCCTCCTCCTCCTCCTCCTCCTCCTCCTCCTCCTCCTCCTCCTCCTCCTCCTCCTCCTCCTCCTCCTCCTCCTCCCTCCTCCTCCTCCTCCTCCCCCCTCCTACTCCTCCTCCTCCCCCCCTCTCGCGCTCCCGGCATGGGCTGCGAGATTTGAGGCAGCATGCCAGCGCAGCGACGAGGGCGGCCCGCTGCCTCGTCGCGGTGCCTGCGTTGGAGTCTGGACGCGGGGCTCCAGCTTTCACAACGGCTTTCGCAAGGAGGAGGAGGAGGAGGAGGAGGAGGAGGAGGAGGAGGTTGTTGTTGCGTGGAAATTGGAGCGCCGCTTAGGCAAGCACAGATTGCGCGGAGCGGCGTCCCCAGTCGTTGCAGTTCTCGAAAGCGGATTGGCAACTGGTGGGCCCAGTGGATCAGGGGGGCTGTCGATGGCGAGAGTTTCCAGGCAAACCTCCTAAATTTCCTCGCAGGTTGGCTTGACTCGCAGGGGGATCTCGAGATTGTCGCCGGCTGCGGCTGCGGCACGAATCGTCAGCCAGCTCTTGGAATTGATGCGGCCTGGAAAAGGCGCCAGACTGAGGGGAGGGGCGAGGCATTCTTCACGCATTTTGCGGTGGCAGACAGACAGACAGACATTCGTGTCGAGGCGACTTTCAGTTTGCTACGGGATACCAGACAAAAGGGCGCCTCGCCACGTCTGCGGACCCGCGAGCGGCTTTTCACGCTCACCGACGTCGTCGTCTACCGCGGAGGCTGAAGCCTACATCCATAAGCGTTGGGGATCCAGGGTCAAGGTTTACGTTTCCAGGGTATCGGATTTCGCTGTGAGGAGAGCAGTCGCAGAGGCGGGCGCATTTCCAGACATCTGGCTTCGAAGTGTTACCACGACCAAGCGGACGCAGGTCGACCGCCCACCGTTGAGCAAGGGCTCGTTGCACTTGGAGGCCCTTGCTCGGGGCCGCTGCTGAAGCAGGTATCTCAGGAGGGGGGAAAAAAAACAGACACAACTAATCGTCCACTCCCAGGAAAATATGGGAAAACATGGGAAGTGGGGGGGAAAGACAAAAACTCAGAAACTTCAGGAAAATATGGGGAATCATTTTATTCGTGTATTTGTTTGGTTGTGTGTCCCAGGGCCCCTTCAGTATCTTCAGAAGCGGGGGCGGAAGTGGAGGTCCCGAATTCCCAGGAGACTCGAGCGCGCAGAACTGCGCGGGAGTCGCGCGCTTCTCAACGGCCCCGTCGGGGACATCATGAGGAAAGTGCGCCCCGGCGGGCGTCGTATCTGCCCCGGGACCCCCCCCCCTCCCCCCCCCTCCCCACCCCCCCCCCTGCGGGGAAGGGATCAAAGGGAAGGGGCTTCCCTTCGACTCCACTACGACGTCGTTTAATTTCGCTTTGGATAGCGCGCTTGAGGAGGAGAGCCCTGGGAGGGAGAGAACGGAGACGACGGAGACGACGAGTCGAACGGAGAAGCCCCTCATACACGCCGACAGGGTCGGCGGATCTTCAGAAGCGGGGGCGGAAGCGGAGGTCCCGATTCCCCAGGAGGCTCGCGCGCGCAGAACTGCGCGGGAGTCGCGCGCTTCTCAGCGGCCCCGTTGGGGACGCCATGCTCGAAGTGGCCGGGCTCTGCGTGCCGAGGTGGCGTCCCAGGTCACGGGCAGTCCAAGAGCAGAGCCGAGGCGTTGGTTTTCTGTCAGATGTTGCTGAACATGCGCTGCGCCTGGGTTGGGGATACGCCGTCACTCTGTCACCCGTTGACTGAGGGGTGGACCCCAAGACACGCGAGTACAGGTGGGCTCATATCGACAGGGTTCTGCGCGCCAGCCCGACTCGGACAGCGGTCGCAGCGGAGGTGAAGAGCCACCAAGAGGTCTCGAAGGTCGGCATGTGCTCAGAGTTCGGCCTTTGCATTATTTACTACTTCGTTAATGATGCCTGCCGCGCATGCGGTTGCCAGTACGTTTCGAGGGACGGTGGAGGAGAGTAAGGAGGAGGAGGAGGAGGAGGAGGAGGAGGAGGAGGAGGAGGAGGAGGAGAGAGAGAGAGAGAGAAGAGAGAAGAGGTGGAGGCGGGGTGTGCAGAAAGAGGAAAGGGGGATGGGGGCGGAGGACGAGGGGAAGTAGTGATCGAGAGAAGAGAGGGAAGGATGGTAGGAAGATGCAGGGGGTGGAGAATGAGGAGGAGCAACAGCACCAGTATGCGGACCCCTGCGAGCTCCTTGGAACTCTCTTCGACCGACTTGAATCGTTGTATCGTGCGAATCCCCCGCAGGAGCGATGGGAAAGGGGAAGGAGAAGGGCAAGGAGCAGACAGAAGGGGAATGGAAGAGGGGGAAGAGACAAAATGGCAGGGACAAAGAAGGGTGGGAGGAAGGGGGAAGAGCGAGGGAGAATGGAGAATGGAGAATGGAGAAGATGACGGAGAAGAGAGGAGTGAAGACGAGGGACGAGTGAGGAGGGAGGGAGAGAGGGAGAGGGGACAAGAGGCAGGAGAAAGGAGGAGGGGGAAGAGACGAGAGGGGGGAAGGAGAAGGGAGGGGGAAGGGCGGGGAGGAGTGATGAAGGAGAAGGTAGAGAGGACGACAACGACGACGACGACGACGAAGTGGAACCCTCGCGAGCTGCGGGCGCCACGCAGGCGCAGAAGGTGTTCCACAGCGGCGACGTCCCTCAGCACGTGGTCGACGCAAAGAAGAGCGCGATCAAGTCGAAGCAGGCCGCCCCTGGCCGCGGATCCGGCGAGGTCCTGGGGGGGCTCTCTCGGCGGCTTCTGGGTCGTTCGGCAGTCCGCGGCGCTGTTTGACTGGCTCGGCAGGCTTCCCCAGGCTTCCCCAAGCTTCCCGGCCGCGGATCGGGCGGCAGGAGATTCAAGTAATTATGTGATTGTCCGAAAGATTCGGAGGGCTTTTCCTCGCGATCGCGGAGAGCAAAGGATGAGAAATCGGTAAAGGCGGGCGGGAGGTGGGGGGGCGCGTAGGTAACCAAGAGTCATGTTTTCGGAGCGGGGGACTTACTCGCTCCGACGCCGAACATAAATAAGCCGCCAGCTGCCAGTGGCGGTCTCGGATGAACACAAGAGGGTGGTGTAACACGACGCTCGGCCAAAACAATGGGCACGAAAGACACCAATGGAACTAGCAAGGAGACCACAGTGCCATCCCTATCGGGCCACCCTGCGTGCGATAAGGAGGTGAGGCTGATGGGTGCAGCGTTCGGTTTGCGACAGGCGCCGCATCGGATGTGAGACCGTGCGGTCCACTCGCGTGCGCTGACCTCGTCCATCTTTCTTCCGCCCTCATCTCGTCCGCTTCTCTCGCCCTCCTTTCTCCCTCACCACCCTCCCTCCCTCCCTCCATCCATCCATCCCTCCCTCCGCCCTCCCTCCCTCCCTCCCTCCCTCCCTCCCTCACCACCCTCCTCCCTCCCTCCTCCATCCCTCCCTCCCTCCCTCCCTCCCTCCCTCCCCCATCCCTCCCCCCCCACCCTTCCTTCCCGGCCTGGGCCCCTCCGCCGAGCCCGCCCGCGCAGAGGCCAACATCCTCGGCACGGAGGCCCAGTCGTGGAACGCCTCGACCATCTCGGACCAGAAGATCCAGAAGGAGCGGCGGTCGGCGAGGAGGAACATTTCCTCCTCCTCCTCCTCCTGCTCCTCCTCCTCCTCCTCCTCCTCCTCTTCCTCCTCCTTTCTCCTCTCTCCTCTCTCCTCCTCCTCCTCCTCCTCCTCCGAGGAGGAGGAGGAGGAGGAGGAGGACCAGCAGCAGGGGTAAACGAGAAGGATGGGGGAGGGGTAAGCGAGAAGGAGTAGGAGCAGGACCGACCTAGACCCAGAATGCATCAGCGATGCCGCATCAGCGATGGGGGGAAAGGAGAAGAAGAAGAAGAAGAAGAAGAAGGCCTTCTCAGAAGGCGGCCGGGTTTCTCAGAAGCCCTCGCGCCTTCTGAGAAGTTTGTTATGTTTTCGGGGAGAGCCTCGAAAACTTCTCAGAAGGCTGGGGGACTTCCGAGCCTTCTGAGAAGGCACGCCCCTTCTCACTTCTCCCCCTCGCTCGCCACCAATTCTAGTTATCTGATGGCCTTCGGCCTGGGCGCGGACCAGCGGCTTGTCAGAGGCCTTTTGGGAATCTTTTGGAGGGTCTCCTGGAGGCATCGTGGGGGCCTCTTGGAGGAATGTTGGAGGTTTCGCGGGTGTCTCTTTGGCTCTTGTTGGCTTCGGGGTCTTTGTAGAGCGGTGGGGCCGTCTTGAGTCGATCTTGGGGTCCTCTTTGGCCGTCTGGGCGAAGTGCGCGAAAATCAGACGACAAAACCAAGTATGCGCAATGACTTTGACCTCTTAGGCCAGCCATCGGGGCCTCCTTTGTGGCCCAAGAGGCGTTTAAGAGGGCCTCAGGACGGGTCTTGGAACTTTCTTTCTAGCATGTTGGAATTTCCAGCACTTATCGTTCTCAATACAGAGACCTCGAACGGACTTGATGAAACTCTTGGCGCTTCGCGTATCCCCATCAGTCCATCCAAAAATAATCCTTGGGCGAGTTGTCCAGGTCAGGCATGTGTAGTAGCATGCAGTCACGCTCTGGGAGTCTCTTGGGGCCATACTGGGGCCCCCAAGGGACAATTTTCTCTCTGGTGGCCTCTCGGAGCCTTTTAGGGGCCCTCCTGGCTCCTTTCCGGGGGAGGATTCTGGGCAGAAGATGCGCGGAACGCACCATTGCTGTCTGCCAAGGTGGCTCGCGAAGGGTTGTGGTTGGGAAGGGGGGTGTCCCGTGTTGCGGGAGGTCCTGCTCGTCGTCGTCCTCATCTTTGGGTGCTCGCCCAAATCTAATGTTTATAGCTTGATTCCCGCTGGCACCGAAGCTTGCCGCTTTCATGTCTTCTTAGCGCGACGCTGATATCCCTGACTTGCGGGTTTCCCCCCCCTGCGCACCGACCGGGGCTTGGAAGTGCGGTGACCGCAGTCTCCTCGGCTGCGAGCTGCTCTGTTGGCGTGTTTCGTGGTTGATTCCGCCCTGGGGGTGGTGGCCACGGGGCTGTTCTAGGGCGTTGTTTCTTAACCACATACTACTTTCTCGGTCTTCGCCCGAGGGCGTCTACGTAGGCCTTTAGCAGCCTGTCGCCATCAACAACAGCACCCCATCTTGGGGACCCTCGTGGGGCCTTTTAGGAGGCCATCGATCAAAGAAGGGGGGGTCTCAACATCAGTCCCCCCGTCGGGGCCCTCAAATTCCAGTTGGGGCGCTCTTGGGGCGTTCTTGGGTGCTCTTGGGGCCGTCTTGGGCAACTCTTGTGCCCTTCTTGGGGCTCTCTTCTTCCATCTTGGCAGAGCCCATCGGAAGCGAAAAAACGAGAAGACAACAAACATGTTGATGTTGCCTAGATATTGGAAGGTGTTTGGCGCCTCGGGGGGGTCCTTGGGAGGCCCCATGGCCACTTGAGAAGCCGTCTTGGGACGATCATGGCGCTTCTTGGAAGCTATCTTGAGCAATATTGCGCTATATTGTGCGACCTTGGAGGCCATCTTGGGCTATCTGGAGCCTTCTTGGTCCATCGTGGACGCTCTAACAACCCGTGACCAGGCCCATCCAGACCGAGGGAGAGGGAGTAGGGGGAGATGTAAACCTCTCCCCGAACCCTCTCCTCGAAGGGCAAGAAGGATGCTGAAAGACCAAGCTCGCTGAACCACCTACGCTCAAAGGGCTGGCGGGATTCCACTCGGCACGTCCTCGCGGCACAGCGGCCGGTAAGGACAGCGAAAAGGCAGGATCAGACGGAAGACCATAGAAATCAGTGATCGGATCAAGGAAGTGTCGAGCGAGAGTACCGCTTTGGAAACGAACCGCCATCTACCCGTGCAACCTGTTTCAGCGTTTAAAACTCCTGGCCGTCCGAAGTCTCAAGCGAAAGTACCAAGGTGAGAAGGACCGCGCTGCATCCGTACTATGGCTGTACCATAGTTCACTTCTGAACACTTCTGGTCATGGTTCTGGGACGCTTCGCGTATCCTCACCAACCCATCCAGACACGATGCCCAGGCGAGTTGTTCGGAGTAGCGATGTCGACGAGCATATAGTGAAACAGAGGGGCCACCATTTGGTGAATTTAGAGACCGATGGGAGCGTATTGGAGGCCGGGGCAATCTTGGAGTCCTTGTGGGGCCTTGGTGGCTTTCGAGGCGTGTTTGGGACTATTCGGGCCCTCTTGGAGCGGTCCTGGAGGCCATCATGTACAGAAGAGGGCGGCAGTGATAGGCCTCTCCCGTCGGAGTCTGGCAAATCATATATATATATATATATACATATATATATATACATTTATATATATATATATAGACTGAAGACCTCCGGTGACGTGTTTGAGGCGGTCTTGGGGGCCTTCGGGGCCGTCTTGCAGCCTTCACGGTCCCCTTCTTCGTGGTCTTGGGATCTTGATGAGGCTTCAGAAGTTCGTCGGAAACGACAAGGCGCGAAACCCAAACTCATTGGTAGCACTATTTGCTTGGAAGCTGTTGGCCTCTCGGGGCACAGTTGGGAGGCTGGCAACGTGGCGCCATCCTTGGGCATATTGTAGGCATGCTGGAGGCCATCTTGAGTCACAGTCGGCTACCATGTGGCGTCTTGGATTATCTGTCGCCATCTCAGGCCATACCATACGCTCTACCTGCCCGTGGGGCGGGGTCTGGGGTGGGGTCCAGACTCAGAGGAGGGAAGATGGGGAAGATGGTCCTCCTCATATTCTCCATCCATCCATCGCTCCTCCCACTTCTCCTCGTTCTCCTCCTCCTCCTCGTCCTACCCGCCTCGCCCTCCTCTTCTCCCCTCCTCCCGCCCTCCCACGCCTTTCGTCTCCTATTCCTTCTCCTTCTCCTGCCCTCTCCCTGCGTCCTCCTCCTCTTCCTACTCCCTCTGTCCCTTCCTTCCTCCTCCCCTATCCGCATCCTCCACCTCGCATTCGTATGTTCCTCCCCCTTGAGTAGCGTGTTGATTCAAGTAAGCTGCTACAGCACATACCTCACCCCGTTGAGCGGCCCCGCATTGAGGTATCCATTCCGATAAGTGCTGAATTCGATCGTCCAGTTGCTGATCAACATGTATCGAATGCGAAGCTATTGTGTCGCAAAGAGAAGACAGTGCTCGGAGCACAACGCAGCTCGAAAAGCATTCCTCAAAATGAGCAGCCTGAGAACATTAGATGCACCATGATTTCAAACTGTTTTTGAAGCTGGTTTAGTCCATAGTCAGCTGCAGAGCGATTGATGTGGAAAGATAATGGATACGCAACCCATCGTCTGGATGCTGGATTTGATTCGGTAGTTTCTGAAAGCCTTGCTGGTGGGAAGATTTGCATATTACAGCTGTTAGTTTCGAATGGAACGCCTGCGAATATCCAACATACTTCAAGTGACTAAGTGTGCAGTCAACGTGCGACGCGTGAACCTTCATTGCCGGATTCCATGCCAGAGTGAGCCAAAACATTTATTTGCATTAGCAAGATGTTCATGGCCGACATTTCGATCACAGCCATTGCGGTGCATAATCCAGCCGATCGTACACCAGAAGCCAGGAGAGGAAGTGCATTCAGTTGTGCATGTTCGAGAGCATGCTGACCACGTATTGCAGCGTTTCGCGGCAGAGGTCGCCCCACATGGCGATGCCGAATCAGGTCCTCATGGCCAGTGCGTCTTGCATGTTACCTTGGAAGGCTCTGGTGATGTCTTGTTGCGGACCACGATGGGAGAGACCTCTTGGACATGGGGGCGGGCAACAGCGGTGGCGGACGCCGCACGCTGCCTGAGGCCCCTGGAGAGCAGGGGGGCGCGCAGGGCAGGAGTGGCCAGTGCTGGCCGCCGCGGGCCGCGACACTCGGCGGCGATGCGTGCGGCTGGGCGGGAAAGACACAGAGGCAGAAGGCGCTTCTCCGGTGGCGGCCCCGCCACGCGTGCTCCCTCCTCCTTCTCCACCTCCTCCTCCTCCTCCTCCTCCTCCTCCCTCCTCCCTCCTCCTCCTCCTCCTCCTCCTCTCCTCCTCCTCTCCTCCTCCTCCTCCCCCCTCCTCCTCCTCCTCCTCCTCCTCCTCCTCCTCCTCCCTCCTCCTCCTCCTCCTCCTCCTCCTCCTCCCTCGTCCTGGGCTCTGCTGCGTCGCCCTGCCGCCCCTGCGACGGGGCGACGGCTCTCCACCGCCCTACCGCCCCTGCGGCCGGGCCTTGCTGCCTGCCCCGCCCGGCCACGGTGCGTGCACCGGTCGGGCTGGGCGCTCCTCGCCGTTCTCTGTTTCCTTCCGCCCACCTTTTTCGGGCCGGGCGGAAGGGGGGGGATAGGGAGAGGGGGGGCTACAAAATTTGCTGCACGTGGCTGGTTTCGGCCTCACCGAGGGGCCCATTCCTCGATACATAGCTGCCTCCGGCGCCTGGAGCGCCACGTGAGCTGATTCTCAACCCCCCCTTTTGCTATCCCCCCCTCTTCGCCCGGCCCGAGCCTTCCTGCCCCCCCCCCCCGCCGCGACGTCACGGTGCCCCCCGCGCTGCCGTTGCCGCCCTGACCTGGCCGGCGCCTCCTGCCCGTGCTGACGCAGCTGCGCCTGGCGTCCGCGTCTCGATGAGGAGCTGGACGATGGCATTCTGCTCGCGGCAGCCTCCCCCCCGCGCCCCGCTTTCTGGGGCTTCTGTAGTGGCGCACTGCCAGCACCTTGCCTCCCGCGCTCGCGGAGCCGAAAGCCTTGGCGAAGGTCCTTGGATGCGGCCGTGATGCCTCCCTCGCCTACTGCCCTGGCACCGCGGCCCCGGCTGGCCGCGCTGGCGCGCTCGCTGTGAAATTATTCCACCAATGAGCGCCCTCCCCCTCTTGGGCTCTCTCTGCGGCTGCCCTGCCTTCGTGCCCCCCCGCTCTTGCATCCGGACAGTTCGTAAGTCGCGCGTCCCCGATTCATGCGAGCGCCCGCACGGATTGCCTCTGCCGTGCTGCGACGAAACAAGTCACTGACTGGACCGTACGTGATGAAGACGGGCACACTTCTTGTCGATTTTCAGAGAGTTAGTGGGCCAGCACTTACTCCAACAGCTAAGGAACATTCCTCTTGGATGGGCGTTCACTTGTTTCATGAATAGGTCCCGATCAGGGGCAGTTGCGATCTGGCGCTGTCACTCTAGATCCGGTCGTCAGTGGCCCACGCCGCAGCGGATTGAATCGCCGCCGACCTTGATTTCAGCGCGACTCCACGCGTAAGAGGCAACACCGTCGATGATGTCGCAGATGCAGGATAGGAGCCGGGGATAACAGAGCAGAACCAGCACAGTGACTGCAAGGATGGATCTATATATATATATATATGTATGTATATATATATACATAGAGAGAGAGGTTGCGAAATACGGTGACTAACATTTGAAGCATGTCTGCTCTGCCGAGGCGCGGCACGCCGGCACGCCCTGCGGTTCTTCACCGGAGCTTCGGTTTGCTGGCGCCCCCGCCGTGTTCCGTGGGCCGTGTTGCGGGGCGTTTTTTTCCGACGCTTGGTTCGTCCTCCTTCTCTTTTCCCTGCCCGCCCTTTCCCCTCCCTCCTCCCCTCCTTTCCCTTTTCCCGCAGGGGGCGGCCGTGTCCCGCGCGGGACGGCCGGTCTCCGAGCCGCCGCGAGGACACCAACCACGACCTGAAGCGCCAGTTGCTCAAGGTGCGTGGGGGAGGAGCGAGAGAACGGAACACGAGGAGGAGGAGGAGGAGGAGGAGGACAAGGAGGAGGAGGAGGAGGAGGAGGAGGAGGAGGAGGAGGAGGAGGAGGAGGGGGACGAGGAGGAGCAGGAGTAGGAGCAGGAACAGGAGCAGGAACAGGAGCAGGAGCAGGAACAGGAACAGGAGAAGAGGATAAGGAGGAGGAGGAGGAGGAGGAGGAGGAGGAAGAGGGGGAGGAGGAGGAGGAGGAAGAAGAGGAAGACGAGGAGGAGGATCGCAGTGTGTTGCTGATGCCGTTGAGGGTGGCAACCTTTGAGAGTCGGGTGAGGCACACGGGCTGTCACAAACAGGAGGAGGAGGAGGAGGTTGGAGGAGGACGAGGAGGATAGGGAGGAGGAGGAGGAGGAGGAGGAGGAGGAGGAGGAATAATGATAATGATAATCATAAGAAGGAGGAGGAGGAGAAGGAGGATAGCAGGAGGATAGCAGGAGGAGGAGGAGGAAGGAGGTAAAAGGAGGAGGAGGAGGAGGCTGGAGGTGGAAAAGAATGAAAAGGAGGAGGAGGAGGACGAGGAGGAGGACCACGACGAGGAAGAGAGGAGGCGCGGGCTGCAGGCCGGGGCAGCCAGGCATGAGTGAAGGAGGGAAGGGAGGAATGGGCGGGGGCAGGGGGTGCACGGGCGCGGGCGTCCCTGTTCCGGGTTCCCCTAAGCGTCGAGGTGCGTGCTGGCCTCATGGACGAGTACAACCAGAAGCCCGCTAAGGCGCACAGCGACGAGAAGATCGAGGACACGGCGGCCTAATTAGGGCTGTCCTCCTTTCGAGGAGGAGGAGACAGATGATGATTGATGATGCTGCTGATGCTGCTGATGATGACGATGACGATGACGATGACGATGACGATGACGATGACGATGACGATGACGATGACGATGACGATGACGATGACGATGACGATGACGATGATGATGATGATGATGATGATGATGTTGATGTTGATGTTGATGTTGATGTTGTTGATTATGATGATGCTGATGCTGATGGCGATTATGATTATGATGATGATGATGCTATTGACGAAGATGACGATGAAGATGCTGATGATGATGGAACTGGTCCTGGTTCTGGTTATGGTGATGCTAAAGGTGATGGTGATGGTAGTGATGTTGATTATGATGCTGACGATGATGACGATGATGATGTTGATGATGATTATGCTGATGATGGTGATGATGATGGCGATGATGGTGACGGTGATGATGATGATGATGATGATGATGATGATGATGATGATGATGATGTTGATGTTGATGTTGATGTTGATGTTGATGCTGCTGGTGCTGCTGATGCTGCTGGTGATGGTGGTTATGATGCTGATGATGATGCTGCTGATGATGATGATGATACTGATGGTGATGATGGAACTGGTCCTGGTTCTGGTTATGGTGATGCGAAAGGTGATGGTGATGGTAGTGATGTTGATTATGATGCTGATGATGCTGATGATGATGATGATGATGATGATGGTGGTGGTGGTGGTGGTGGTGGTGGTCGTGGTGGTGGTGGTGGTGATCATGATGATGATGATGACGACGGTGACGGTGATGATTATGGTGATGGTGATGGTGGTGGCGGTGATTGTGGTGATGATGATGATGAGGAGGAGGAGGAGGAGGAGGAGGAACAGGAGGAGGAGGCGGAGGATATATCGCACAGGCTTTGTTTTGCTTGGCCTCCTGTGGTGCCCTCGTCGCCGCGGTTGGATTCGCCTCGAGATCCATGCGAGAACCCGCTCCAGGACAGTTGCAGGGAGGAAGTTGAAAGAGAGGGGGAGAAGGATAATGATGATGAGGAGGAGGAGGAGGGGGAGGAGGAGGATTGGCCAGCTGGTGCCCTGAGGCGTGAACTCGCTCACCCGAGTGGAACGAGCTGTCCAGCGCTGCAAGGAAGTTGTGGGGGGCCCGAGCCTCCCGAAAACGCAGCCCAGCCAATACACGAGCGAGACTGCGAGGCTCAGCGGGGTCAACAGGTTCAACCGCTGCAGTCGCCACCTCCGTCAATCCTCTGACCGCTAGAGAGTGGGGGTGTGTTGTGGGAGTTTGCAGGTGTCTTCTGGTGTGGTGAGGGGCTTATACGTGAGCATTGGTGAATGATCCACCTTCTCATCCTCGGGCTCATCCCCCCCTCTTCCTCATCATGATCCTCCTTTCGGCCAGGTCACAAGAGGGGAGGATGCAGCACACGTTTGCTTTTGAAGTTTCAGCAGAAGACACGCGGCAAAACCCTAACAATCACATACATTCATCCCCCCTCTTACTTTCCTTATGCTTCCCATCGTCCTCCTCTTTCCCTTCATCCTCATCTTCCTCCATCCCTTGTCCTCATAAGTAGCCCCTCCTTGTTGCACCCCCAGACGTGCGGGTAGGGCGGGCCAGGCGTTTCACTCGACGCCTCCTCACCACTTATGGCCCTGAAGCTTGAAGTTTGAAACAGTTTCAATGATAGTGTGGGGGGGCATGGTTTTTCAAAATAGAGCTCTCGCAGCTGCGCCAACCCCCGCTCGTTTCGTAATGCTTGCACCGGCTTCAAGGATGGGCGGCGGCTCCTTTTCAGAATGGGGCCCTCGCCCAAAGCGCCGCACACATTCGTTTTGACATGCTCTTCACGCATTGTGGTTCGGTCGTTTTCAACATGTGACTGTCGGCGCAGTGCCGCGCACATTTCAAGGGGCCCCAGGACACACAAATAAGTACACACAAATAAGATAATTCCCCATATTTTCCCATATTTTCTGGGTTTTTGTCTTCCCCCCCACTTCCATATTTTCCCAGATTTTCTGGGGGATCGACGATTCATTGTGTCTGTGTGTTTTTTCCCCTTCTGAACATTCGTCTATTAAAGTTGGCAGCAGCTTCGAGGATGGACGGCGCTTCCTTTTCAGAATTGGAGCTCTCGCCCCGGCGACGCGCACACTCGTCGTCAAGGTTCGCAGCAGCTTCCAGGATGGCAGGTGGTTCCTTTTGAAAGTGGGGCGTTCGCTTGATACAGTCGGGGCCCTGAAGAAGGAACCCTTTTCGTTGAGGAGGGGCTCCGTGTTCCTTAATCGTGTCGCAGTTTGCGTTAGGTTGTCCTTAGGTTTTCGATGGGAAATCGAAGCTTCACTTATGGAAAAAAGAGGCCTCGTTCCTTATGTATCGTTCCTCAGGTCAACGCCCCGACTGTGCGCGCTTGCCCGGCAAAAAAGACCACAAACCTGGAACGTGTGCAGCGGCTGCACGGACGAAGGGTGCTTCGCTTTCACACAGTGGGCGCCTGCCTGAGACGCTTGTGCGTGCAAGGACCAGAAGCGGAAGCCGGCTCCTCTTCAAAGTCGCTTTGTCGCTTGAGAGGTCCTCGACGCTCGGGGTCAGACGTGAAAGCACGCGCAATCTTTTACACGGGTGCGGCCGGCTCTATTTCTCAAAACGCGGATATCTCTGGACGCCGCGCTGGATCACATGCTCACGCCACGGCACGCTCCCTGCTGCTCGCTGGAAGACTGCTGGAAGGATGCACGGCAGCTCGATCCGCTACGAAAGCTGGGCCTTCGCTTGAATGGCAGGCCAGCTCAGGTGCTGCTCAGGCCGCCGGTCCGTCGGCGCGTTAGGCAATCAGGTTCGCGCGTAGCCCGCCCGACCCTTGACGCTGCTGGCGCGCTCGCCCGCGGCCGCGACGGAAAGTCGGATGGCAGGCCTGCACGGTGCTCCCCGGCGTGAGTTGTCCTTGCCTTGGCCTCGGCTTGCCCGGTGGGTCGGCGACGCGGCGGGCCCCCGCCGAGGCCCGCAGGGCGCCGTGCCTCCGTGGGCTGCTGGCGGGGCAGGCCAGGCGGCACCTTTCGAGCCCAGAGGCCAAGAGCCCCGGGGAGGCCCCCGAGGCCTCCTCCTCCTCCTCCTCCTCCTCCTCCTCCTCCTCCTCCTCCTTCTCCTCCCCCTCCTCCTCCTCCTCCTCCTCCTCCTCCATCCTCCTCCTCCTCCTCCTCCTCCTCCTCCTCCTCCTCCTCCTCCTCCTCCTCCTCCTCCCCTCCCTCCTCCCTCCTCTCCTCCTCCTCCTCCTCCCTCCTCCTCTCCTCCCTCTCCTCCTCCTCCTCCTCCCTCCTCCTCCTCCTCCTCCTCCTCCTCTCCCTCCTCCTCCTCCTCTCCCTCCTCCTCCTCTCCCCTCCTCCTCCTCCTTCCTCCTCCTCCTCCTCCTCCTCCTCCTCCTCCAAATGCTCCGAGAGGCCACCAGGAGGCCCCCGACAAAAACCGGAGAGGCCCCATCCCCCAGAGACCCCAGGAGCGTCCCCCAAAGGCATGCAGAGAGATTCCCGGCATGGTTTTGCTAGGCTCCCAGGGGCTCTCGGGCATCCCTCCTTGACTGCCCTGGGTCCTCCTCGTGGCTGCCTTGCGCGACTTCCTGGAGCCTTTCTGATTCAGGCGATTCCTGAAGCGTCCATCAGGAAGTACGTTCCCAGATGGTGATCCTTGCGGGATGAGGTCCATCCTTTTCCGATCTTGTGAGATTGGCTTGGACTGAGCTAGAACCTAAGCGCGCGCGAAGCGCGCATGATTTTAGTATATTGTAATGGCCTCTGGCCAGTGCCGCCGATCCGGGGGGCTCCGGATTCAGTGATCTTGGAGTCGTCGGGGACGTTGTTTGGGAGGGAGGGCGCTCTAGGAGTCGTCGGGGACGCTTTTTGGAGCTGACGTGCCCTCTGGGGGGGTGCCTGGAGCGGTCCTGGGGGGGGGGTCTGGGGAGGGTTCGAGGGGAGGGTCCTGGAGGCGGTAGCGGCTGGATTTGAGGGGGTCCCTGGGACCCCCAGAAACATTTTGGGGTAAGAAAACGCCAGATGGGGGACCGCGACCCCCCCGTCTCCCCTCCTTCCCCGGAGGGGGTCCATGGGGGGTTCCGAGGGGAGAGTCCGGTGGGTACCGGGGGATTCGCAAATCATGAAGAAAACGCCAGATGGAGGACCCCCCCCTTCCTCGGCAGAGCCACCCCAGCGACCCCCCCCAAGCAGAGCAGAAGCTCTTGCTTAGGCTCAGAGCTGAAGCTCTTGCTGAGGCTCCTTGTAGTTCACACGCCAGATCGGCGGATTTCTAGGTGTATGTGTGTGTGCACATACCTACCTATACATATGCGTATGCATGTGCATACATATATATATATACATGTGTGTATGTGTATATATATATATATACATATGCGTATGCATGTGCATACATATATATATATATATGTGTGTACATATATGTATGTATATATGTATGTGTATATATTATATGTGTGTATGTACAAAGACACATGTATGCGTGTGTACGTGCGCGTGTGTATACATCGATGTACATGTTATATATATACAGATATAAATATGTGCACATTCATACACACATGTATATATAAATATGTATACACATATATGTAATTTATCATTTACTCGTTCTAGAACTCAGCCGTGTTTCGCCCTTTGCTCTTTTCACGCGTCTTCATTTGCGCATAAAGACGTGGGTATATCCAGTTATGGTTCCTCCCCTGACCAGCACCCACTTGTGTGCAGCGGCGCCCCGAGGAGCAGCAGAGGTACGTGGTTCAGATGACCGGCAAGGGGCCCATTGGCAAGCTGTGTGGCCAGTGGTCACCCCGCCCGGGCCAGCTCTGGTATGAAGAGTGTGGCGCGCATAGCAGCGGCTGATCGAATGGAAGCAAGCAGTCACGCAAGCATAGGGGGCGGCTGAGGACGATAACAGGGGGGAGGAGGAGGGGGAGGAGGAGGAGGAGGAGGAGGAGACGAAGAAGAAGAATGAGAAGAAGAAGAAGAAGAAGAAGAGGAGGAGGAGGAGGAGGTGGAGGCGGAGGTGGAGGTGGAGGTGGAGAAGGACGTGGAGGAGGAGGAGGAAGGGGTGGGAGAAGAGGAGGAAGAAGAGGCAGGAGGTAGACGGGGTAGAAGGACGAAGTTTAATGAAAGAGTAATGAGGAGAACCAGGAGGAGGTCGCATGTGGAGGCGGAAAGGACGAATGAGAGCAGGAGGAGGAAGGGGAAGGAGGGAGAGGATAAGAGGAGGCAGTGGGAAGGGTGGAGGAGCAGGAGGAAAGGCCACAGAGACAGAAGGAATGAGGACAGGGATGAGGAGCTGCAGTTACGGGGCGTGCACGTCTCTTGCGGCTCGACGTGGCCGAGGCTCGCGGCTTCTACTCTGAAGTTTCGTTGTTGCGTGGCCTGCGCGCGCCAGCCGGCTGCCTCCGAGTGCGCGCGGCCTGCGCGCGGCCTCTGGCCTCGCGCGAGCGCCTCCGCGATCGTGAGCCGTGTGGCCAGGCCTCTTCAGGAGGGAAAGACACACACAGACACAATTCATCGTCGACTCCCCAGAAGATATGGGAAAGTGTGGGAAGTGGGGGGGAGACGAAAACCCAGGAAATATGGGAAGAGATGGGGAATCCTCTTGTTTGTGTGTGTGTATATCTGTGTGTCCCAGGGCCCCTTCAATCTGGTCTCGTTGACAGAAGGGGGGCGCGCCGTGTGGGGCCGCTTCGTCTCGTGGCCGGCCGGGCTCGTCGCCTCGCGCCCGCAGGCGTGGGCGCGCTCTCGCCTCCCCTCGCTGTGTCGCGGGGCTCCCTGGCCAGGCGGTGCTCGTCCTCGGCGCCGCCCCGACTTCGGGGGCGGGTCTCGGGAGGCTCGCGTGCCGGTTTGGCGCACTGGAAGTCGTCTTCCCTGGTCCGATGTGGAAAACGGCATCCCTGGCGTCGCTCGGACGTGTGCATTTTTTCTTCGGCGAGAACCATCGAGGAGCATCCTTGATCATTTGGCCGAAAAAACCACGCACGAAACCGAAAAAGACACAGGGAATGGACGTCCGAGCGATGGCGAGCATCTGTCCGTATGCTCGATCTCGATCTGGGCTCTTCCGCGCGCGAGGCGGGGCCGCCTTCCTCGGCGGCCGAGCGGGGCTCGCTGCCCATGCCCGGCCCTCATAGCGGGGCGGAGGATGAACCCCATCCACGAGCGGGGCCTGGCGAAGCACTGCGTCAAGGACGGCGGGGGCGAGAAGTGGTGGGGGGGGGCGAGGATCAAGGAAGAAAAAGCAGCACAAGCGTATAAGCCGTCGAAGGTCCGTTCGGGCCTCCGGGTGTCTATGCTTATGCTCTGTTGGCCAATTGATATGTTTCTTGTTGTTATTGCTCTGGACGAGGCGGAGGAGGCTCTGATTGACCAGGTCCTGGAAGTCTGTATGGATGGTGAAGGGCTCGAGCTAAACGGTGTTTCGGCGATCTGCTGGGCCGTTTTCGTTTGATGTTGTTTTACAGCAAAGGCGGAACGAAGATAGTACGGAGGATGACAAAAACGAAAACGAAAAACATTGTTTAGCTCGAGCCCTGATGGATGGTGTGCTCGAGGCTCGTTGGGGCTCTCAGACGGGTCTCAGGAGGATCCTTCGGGCTGTTGGATGGCCCTGTGGAGCCTCCGGGGAGTCCGGCGGCACCGTTGCGGCGTTTGGGCTGTCGCGACACCCCCGCGGCGACGAGCTCTCAGCACGTGCATAGCCGCTTGCCATTGTGTCCTGGATGCGTCGGCCATCGGGAGGTAACAGCTAGCAGCGTCTGCTCGTGATAGCTGCTGCGTCCAGGCATCTTAACCAGACGTGGGTTCTTGATGGACGAACAGCAGAGCAGCAGCAGTTCGTTGTCGCCTTTCCTCGTTGCCGATCTTGTTATTTACGCATGGCCGTCGCCGCAACACCATGCCTGCCAAGACCAAAGAGGGGGTGATGCGCTGGAGGGCTACAACATTGCCCCATTGTCCGCAACTAGGTTTTGCCTTCGGATGTTTCGCAAAAAAAAAAACATTGTGTGTGTGGGGGTTCTTCGTCGAAGGCGGCCCTCGGTATTCCTCAGTGTTGCCCGGATTGACTGGGGTTGCCTTTGCGGCCCCCCCGCGTTGTTTGAGGTTACCCGCCAAGCGTCGCCAAGCCAATCAATGCCAAGCAATTCCAAGCGGCCCCAAGCAATGCCAAGCGACGCCAAGTTATGCCAGGCAGCGCCAAGCAATAGTTTGCACTATTTTGCATTGCTCCGAAACGTTTTGAATGTCTTTGTGAGAAGACCCCATAATGGGGGTCGCGCAGGGTTCACCTTGAATGCTATTCCTTACTGTCTCTCTCCCCCTCTTCGCCGCGCACTCCTCTCCTTGCTGATGCTCCGTCCTCAAAATTGGTGGGGCGACCAGCGGCCCAAGTAGTGGGTCGTGGAGAGAAAGCCCGTCTTGTCCTCCTGCTCCTCATCCTCGTCCTCCTCCTCCTCGTCCTCATCTCATCTCATGTCATCATCATCATCATTCTCATCATCATCATCATCGAAAGCATGCCCAGCACCATCATCATCGTCACCATCCTCCTCCTCATCATCAGTAACAGCATCAGCATCATCATCAGCAGCAGCATGGTCATCATCGTCACCATCAGCGTCATCACCATCAACATCAACGTCGTTATCGTTATCATCATCACCATCAGCATCATCACCCCACCACCACCACCACCACCACCACCATCATCATCATCATCATCATCATCATCATCATCATCATCATCATCATCGTCATCATCATCGTCATCATCAGCAGCAGCATCATCATCATCGGCATCATATTCATAAGCAGCATGATCCTCATCGTCATCATCACCATCATCAACAGCAGCATCGTCATTCGATGACATCAGTATCATCATCAGCATCATCGTCATCATCACCATCATCATCACCATCAGCATCATCATCACCATCATCATTATCACCACCATCCTAATCACCACCACCATCAGCAGCATCGTCATCAGCACCATCCTCACCATCACTATCATCATCATCATCATCGTCATCATCATCATCATCATTATCATCATCATCATCATCATCATCATCATCATCATCATCATCGCCATCATCATCATCATCATCATCATCATCAGCATCATCATCAGCATCATCATCAGCTCATGTCATGTTTCACGCGTGCCTCTCATCAGCCTTTGTATGATGGCCGAATACTTCTCGCTGAGTGTGTCGGCAGGGAGGGTACTCTCTGCGTTGCCAACGTCCATATGTCGAACACGTGTCGTGGGCGGCCACTCTACCGTCACGTGCTGGCACGAATCTGCAACGCGTTGCTTGCTTCGACACGGTGCTTCACTATGATTGGGAGTGATTGGAACTTCGCACTGGAGGATGAGGGGATACATGCAGATGATGGGATGAGCTGGACGGCTGGTGACAGGTGGCACACACACAATATTTCGAGACTAAATGTGGTAGGTGGGCGGAGCTTTACCAAGCGGATCCGACTCGGTACGGGTGGGGGAATGATGGGAGTACACACTTCACGGTTGGACCGTATCTGCATTGATCTACCGTGCGCGTTGTTGCCCGATTGTACATTGCAGGCCAAGGTATGGAATCGGTCTAAACGTTTCGAACCGTCTGATCACCTCCTTGTTATTGCCATGGTTCAGAAGTTTGACCCCCGTCTGGCTCATAAGGTTCCCGATTGGCTCTATCAGACCACGATGTATCGGCAGCTTGTCCAGGAGGCTCTTGAAGCGATACCCACTGATTGGTCCCCGCCCCGTCGTCTTGAGGCCGCGAAGGCGGTCATGCACGAACAGGTGACTCCCGCCAAGCGGCCTGCGGAGACACCTGAGGAACAGCACTATTGGGCTATGTGTGGAGGGGTTGGAGGGCAGGAAAGTTTCAGGTTGTTTGCAAGGCTCTTCTCGCCCACCCAGTGCTCCACCAGCCATTTGGCGCCGACAGAGAGACGTACCTTGATTATGACAAACTCTGCGAATATGCTCGCTGGTGTCACTACAGAGTGCTGGAGGCACAACTCTCTCGCGAAGAGGCTCCCGCTGCTTCGTCGGAGCACGAGGAGGCTCAACATAAGCACGCCATCGATCGGCTGCGCTTTAAGATGGAGATATGGAGGAGGACGCGTCGACGGGTCCACGTGCAGGGCATATTGGATGAGGATGGGGTACCGTGCAGTTCGGCGGAGGAGTCGGGGGAGGCTTTGGCACGATACTGGGGGGGGGGGATCTTTGCACCCGTGGAGGAGGATATGGGTATGTGGGTATGTGGGAGGAGCTGCTGCAGCACTGCCAGTCTGTGCGACCGTTTCGTGACACTATCGAGTGGCGTCCGTGCGAGCATGACTTCGGTGGGCTGGCCCGGGGCAAACGCAGCACTGCGCCTGGTCCCGACGGTATTCCGTACAGTTGCTGGAAGATCGGGCCTGCGGCGGGTATCCTGCACCAGGTGTACGAGTATCTACATGACACAAGCAGTACCGACTTCCCTGAGGATATGCGGCATGTACTGCTGACCTTTCTACCTAAGGGTCAACACCCAACGACGTGGGTGATGCAGTGCTGCGTGATGCCAGTAAGACACGGCCGCATGTTCTAATTGACACGTCGTGCAAAGCTCTCTCGATGGGCATGGGATTGCCACTGATGCAGGTTGCCCCTAAAACGGCTACTGCTACACATCGTGGAGAAGTTGGGGGGGAAGTCTTACTGCCAACGCTGTGGGGGCGGATGAGTGGGGGATGTCGCAGTGGCTTCGTGGCATGCCGAACTCTGTGATACTTGTCACGGGCTTTGCGGTTGCCTTCCCATCGCTCTTTATTAATTGGATATTGATTGTGCTGAATTCGATGGGCATCCCAGCGCCCATCATATGTTTTTTGTTGCGCTGTACACGGCCAACACTGCGACGATTGCGCGTGCAGGGCAGCAATTATCTACGATATCGGTCGGGAGAGGGGTTAGACAAGGGTACCCAACCAGCATGTGTCCGTTCTCCTTGGCGTTGGACCCAATCATGCGATGGTTCTTGTGGGTGAGGGGGGGCCGTCACATCGACAAAAACTTGGGGTATGCGGATGACTTGATTTTCGGTTTGCGTGACATTTACTCGGACCTTGCTCCGACGCTGCGTTTATTAGAGTTGCTCGAGGTTGCGGTAGGGTCGGATTTGAATTTTGGGAAATGTCAGACGAGCACACTTACGGTCGACCAAGCGAATACGTTCCTGGATAGCCGTCCGCAGCGGTGTTGCCACATGCGAAGTACTTTGGAGTTGAGATCGTGCCTGACGAGCACATCTTTGCTTGGCGTGGGGCCCTTGTGAAGTTTCATAGCCGCGTGCGTACGCTCAGGAATCTGGGGCTCGGTCTGGCTACCACGATTGCGATGTGTTCTTCCACCTGTCTCTCTATGCCCTGCTACATCATGCAAGTCTACACACCATCGAAGGAAACACTCGGGACGTACAGTGCTACTCTCCAGCTTCTTGTTGCTGCCCCTCGCTTCTCCTTCTCCAACGAGATGCTGCGCGGCCTACGCACGCTTGGGTTACCTACTGAATTCCCGGATCTGGTTCACCATGCTCGTGCCGTGCAGTTGCATGCGTCCATCATTTGTCCGTTTTTTGCTCATGTTAACGCCAGGCTTGAAAGTGCGGCCACTCACCAGAATCTGTGTGATAAGAGGGCAGATGGGTGGAGGGGGCCTTTCTTGCACCAGTTGCGTAGTGTGAACAATGACTGCACGGACATTGTCGAGTGCATCCCTGAGAATTTCCCGAAGAAGAAATTGCAGCGTCGTTTCTTTGCCGCACTCTGCTCACAAGACCCGATTGACCTGGATAAATGCCCAGAATCTGGTCCGTTGAAAAGAATATCTTCGTGGCTGCCGTCACCCAGTCCTGCCGCCGTCGCCCAGATGATTGGCACTATTCGTTCCGCTGTGAAACGCACGAAGATGTATATCGGTATCGCCCCTCTTCGGATCGCGCGTCGCGGGATGTGCACCACTTTGCGCTTCCATTTCTCTCGGAGAGGCTGTGTCTTCGGGTTGCCCGAATCCTGGTGACGAGAGGGTTGACTTAGATGACACGCTACATTACACTGTATGCCCTCGGCTGAAAAAATCTTCAGACGGTGGCTGGGACAGGTTGTGGATTGTGCCGACACCCGTCCCTTGCTCACTTTTCTCGCTCCCACGCAGTCTCATATGGCTGTTCTCTGCTATGCATATGTGTGCGAGGCCTTTTTTACACCCACTCCCAGAAACGAGTGGGCAGTACTGTCGAGCCCGAAGCTCTTTTCGAAGCACGTGTTCGGCTGCATTGCCGAATGCACCGTGCCCTACAGAAGGCCTGGGCACAGTATGGCTGCAGAGGGGAATATGACGGTCTGACTGATCTTTTTATATAAAAAACATCATCACCACCATCATCATCACCATCATCATCAACAACAACAACATCATCAGCATGAGCATCAGCACCAGCATCAGCATCCCCCCTCTTCCCAATTCCTTCCATCCTCCTCCACCCACCCAGTCCTCCTCATCCCTCATCCTCCTCCTCCTCGACCTCCCTCTCGTCCTCCCCTATCTCCCCCTCGCCCTCCTTACGTGCCACCTCGCCCTCCCCCATCGACGCCCCCTCCTCCATTTCCCTATCCTTCCCCACCCGACCCCGACGACGACGACGACGACGACGACGACGACGACGACGACCCGTGGCTGGCCGCGCATCCAGGAAGGGTAGAGTGAGGAGAGCGCGATGGGAAAAGAGAGAGCATTGGCTGGCTGGTCACGAGGGATGCGTTGGAGGAGGAGGAGGAAGAGGAGGAGGAGGAGGAGGAGGAGGACGAAGAAGATGGGGGGAGGAATGGGCGGGGCAACAGGGGGAAAGGGATGAGGAGGAGGATGGGACGACGAGGGCAAGGGCTCGGAGGGAGGAGGACAAGAGGGGGAGGAAGGGACGATGGACCTTTTTTAGCCCTTTTTCCATCAACGAACACGCAGCAACGCCTGATAACATATATATATATATGTATATATACATGTGTATATATACATATATAAGTGCCGCCTTTGGTCAGGCGGTCTCTAGCAAATTTGTTTGGCGGTCCATACCCAATCGGAGGAGACAGGCTGACTCACTGAGTTGATGCTAGTTGCCTTGGAACACAGGTTGCTCTACGCAGCGGCATGCTAAAAAGACCTTCGTCGGGCATCAGATTTGCAAACATGTGCACGCATAGTTCCTACACCCACTCACAAACGGAGGGTTAAATCGATGGCGATATAAAGACGGATCATATTCTAGATGACGAATTGGACGAATTCGCGAGTTCTTTGCATAGGAACAATCTGAAACAATCAGTTGCTGAGAACAGACAAGAACGAAACCATTATCCCCCGTGCAGCCAAAAGGATAAACTCGTCCAAATGCGCTACTAGCTTCACAGGAAAGAGATCAACCTGTACCAGCAACTTCCTACAACTTCGAACCATCGTCCATGCGTTCGTCAAGGTGCAGTAAAGCCGCCCACATCGCTAGACGGGCGCGATGTCAGACCAGCCTGGAGAACATGGGTTTTGTCCAAAAAGCAACTACGATAGCGCGGGTACGGCATAAGCTTTGTGAACAGGTATCTGGCTAGAGTCCGGAGCGCCATGCAGAGGGAAGAAAATTCGGAGAGGGAAGCACCCGCAAGAACAGGACGGTGCTTGACCCGAGAACAATCAGCAAATTGTTGCGTAGGCGCTTGATTCGTTTAAGATTGTCTTTTCGCCAGCGCTGCCACTGAACATGGTCTTGTCGCGTTGCCGCCGTGAACCTGGGAGCGTGACGGGGAGAGCACCAGAACTGTTCCGCCGCGGCATCGAATCAATGTTTGACAAAGGCTGCATTTCTGCTGAGAGGTATGAAGGCTTGTCGGCGGATCCAGATGCTCCCAGCAAGGAGGAGGTGAGGGGGGAGAGGGGGCAGAGGAACGGTGCAAGGAGGAGGAGGAGGAGGAGGACGACGACGACGACGTCGACGACGACGAGGGCAGGGAAATAGGTTTGGGGAGAGGGGAGAGGGGAGGAGGAGGAAGAACGGAGGAGGAGGAGAAGGAGGAGGAAGAGGAAGGGGAAGAGGGAGAGAAGAGGGGCGGGGGCGGGGAGAAGATGAGGAGGGGGAGGGGGAGGAGGAGCAGAGGAGGAGAAGGAGGAAATTGAGGAGGAGGAGGAGGAGGAGGAGGCGGAGGCAGAGGAGGAGAAGGACGGAGGAGGAAGAGTAGGAGGAGTTGGAAGAGGAGGAGGAGCGGAGGAGGAGGAGGAGAATGAAGGTAAGAGGAGGGGAATAGGAGGGCAGGAGGAGGAAAGTGGAGGGGAGGGGAGAAGGAGCAGGAGGAGCAGGAGGAGGGGGGGAGAAGAGGAAGGGAAGGCGGGAGGAGCAGGATGGAGGAGTGACGGGAGGAGTGCCAGGAGGTCGAGGAGGATTTGCGGCGGTCGAGGCAGGGGGAAGAGGGAGAGTGCGAGGACGAGGACGAGGAGGTGGACGAGGAGGGAGGACGGCACCCTGCCAGCAGCAGGGTCGAGCGACCACCGCTCGCCTGCAGTTCGGGCGCTGGCGCGGGGCCCTGTTGCGATCACCGGTCCAATCCTCCCCCCTCCCCTCTTCAGGCAGGAGATCTGGAGCAGCGTCAGGGGAGGAGGGGCTCAGGGGGGGCTGCATTGGCGCCAATCGCAACCCCTCTCGGAGGCGGTCACGTACCGAGATGCGTCCACTCGGAGGTGCGCTCTGCTCTCGGCTGGGGACGTGTGTGTGTGTGTGTGATTTCAGGTTAGCAGGTCTTGCCTCCTTGCTGCACCTCCCGCTCCTCCTGCTGCTCCTCCTCGTCCACAGACAGCGGGCTGCAGAGGAAGAGTGGCCCGACTGGAACGAGTCGCACTCCAGCCACACCAAGGAAGATCAAAAGCATGCGGAAGGCACGCCGAGCAGCCGGCGCTTCCGCGAGCCCAGCAGAGCGATGCGTCATTTCGACGTTGGGGTAGCTCCGCTACCGTAAGGGGAGCGCAGGATCACCCGACAATTGTCGAAAATTCGCGTATCCCGCTCCACCAGCCCAAGCAGAAATGAGTCTTCGGCGATGTGCCGTGAGCATGGGATCGGAGGAGCACAGATGAGACAGTGGTATACACGGGACACGAGCCGAGCCGGAGGGTGGATCGGCCCGAGCGGCTCCCAGCAGTAGCCAGATTGGTTGCCTCCGAAGGCCTTTTTGGAGGCCTTCGGCGGCAGGAGCGGTGGAGACGACGAGTCAAAACGGGCGGCAGACGACGGCGAAGGACGACGACGGACGACGGCTGACGAGCGCGACGGACGACGGCGACTACAACGGACGGCGACGCTGGACGACGGACGACGGCGACGGACGACGTCGTCGTCGTCGTCGTCGTCGTCGTCGCCTCGGCGGTCACCACCGCTCGCGCATACACATCCTGAGGCGCCTCGAGCCGACCTCTGGGAAGAGGAGGGCGATCTGTTTGGGGGGCCCTCTGAGAGCACGTGGAGGCCCTCTGAGGATCTCGTGCAGCATCCTCGCGAGTCTTCGGAAAGGGACCCTCGTGGGGCTTCCCTTGGGCTCTCGTGGCGCTACCTTGGCGCCCTCCTGAGTTTCCCCAGACCCCTGGCGTCGTCCTTTCCTCCGACCTGGGGCCCCTGGAGCTCCCGACGCCCTCTCCCGATGGGTGCTTTCCCGTCGTGCGGTGCTCCTGTTCTTGTTCCAGGTCCAGAGAGCCATCCCCCGGAGGCCAACTTGTTCGCATTCGTGTTTGGTCTGCGGCGTGTTGGGTTCAACCAGCGGTCGGGCTAGCGTCAGAACGCGTCCGCAACTGATCCTGAAAGTTATGAAACACTCCCGTCGGTGAATTGTTCCACGATGACTGGATGCCTCAATCCCTCTTTCCCTCTCCCCCGCAGATGACACTGGCAGCCGTACAGTCCGGGAGTCGATTTGGTGCACGCTAGCCCTGCGGCGTTGGCGGCCCCGTTTGTCCGCGAGTTTTTTTTTGGCCACTCGCATGATGTTTGCAAGCGTGGACCCCAAAGAGTCAGTTCCTGTATTCTCGATGTGCAACAGTCGGGTGTTGCCAAGGGTGTCCCTGGCCGAAGGTGTCCCCAGGATTCCCAGGCGAGGCTCAGATGGCATGCTGCGTCGTGCAGCATCTGCGGTGCAATCTATGGAGTGTCATTTGCGTGGTGCAATCTATGTGATGCACGATTGTGGTACAAGATGTGCGGTGTATTGTTTGGGATGCAATCTAGATGGACCTGAAGTCGCCAACTCCAATGCTCGCGAAAACATACCACCCACTCACCCCCAACATGTTGGCTAAACCTAAGAGGGCCTGAGTGAAGGTACGCATCGGAGTTTGCTTGCTAACCTCAGCAGGCGCAATGACGCGTGGACCCTGTCCATGCAGATCCAACGCTCGGGTGGGCGAAAAACCATGGTGACGACGACATCGGCGACGACGACGGCGATGATGATGATGATGATGATGATGATGATGATGATGATGATGATGATGATGATGATGATGATGATGATGACGATGATGACGATGATGACGATGATGACGATGATGACGATGGTGATGATGAGAATGATGATGAGGATGATGGGGATGAGGATGGTGATGGTGATGGTGATGGTGTGGCGATGTTGACGCAAGCGACGACCATGACAAAGTTGTTGATGATGATGACGACATTATGATGATGCTGCTGATGATGGTGACGATGATGATGCTGATGATGATGACGATGACGATGATGATGATGATGATGATGATGATGATGATGATGATGATGATGATGATGATGATGATGGTAGTGGTGGTGGTGATGATGATGATGATGCGGATGATGATGATAATGATTGATGATGATGTTGATGATGGTGGTGGTGATGATGGTGATGATGATGATGCTGCTAGTGTTGGTGGCGATGATGTTGATGATGATTGTGCTGATGAAGATGATGATGACGACGATGGTAGCTTCAGTTGATGGCGATGATTGCGATGACGGTTGACGTGGTCCAGCTCTTGACAATGATGATAAGGTGCTGATTGGGATGATGAGGAAGTGCGTGCGCGCAGAAATTCGGACCGTCCTGGCATATCTGTTGTTGAAAGACAACCGTGCTTTAAGATATGTCTGAAGAACGCTGTGTCGCAATGCTTGTGAAGCCATTGTTGTTGGAAGGGTTTCGACGTGCGTGCGGAGACGTGTGTGTGGTCCGCAGTGTGTCGATTGAGTTGGTGGGTGTTCGATGATCGTTTGAATATTTTCGACATGCGCGTGCGCGATTTGCTGGCACGGTCTTGTTGGACAGAGCTACCCCCCCCAATTCGAAGAATTGTCTGTGATGTCAGCGAGTCCGCGCGCGCAGAAAGAAACTGACGCGCTTCATGGGAAAGCCAACGCCTTTTGTTAGTGGTCGAAGAGTTGTGTTTTAAACCGGCTTATAAGATCGTGGTCGATTATTTGTTGAATTGTTGAGCTAATTGGCAACGCTTGTTGACAGTGGTCGGTTATCTGTTGACATGGCTTATGTTGAAAAGTGGGGTATTGGGGGTATTTTGACGTGCGCGTGCGGCGGCGCGCGCGCGCGCGAGTGCCCCCGCACAGCTTGCTGCAACGCATCGCTTGAGAAAGCAGGCCTGATATCAGCACAACGAGGCGTTCCGGAACGGGCCTTTGCCTCCGAGGTTGGGCGTTTCGTAATGGGGGGGTCATAAATGGGGGGGTGGCGAGGGTGGCCCGAAAAGGTACCCAAACGGTACCTAAACGAGCCCCCTGGGGCTCTGGAGGGGCCCGAAAGGGGCACGAAAGGGGACCTTTTCTGACCCCCCCATTTGTGACCCCCCCACTAAGCCACGCCCAACGAGGATCGAAGGTTGGGAGGCACCTCTTCCTCGGCGGAGGGCGGCGGAGGGGCGGCGGAAGCTGGCGGAAGCAGCACGAGGGCGGCTGCGCCGGCGGAAGCCAGCGGAAGTGAGAGATGCGCCCTCCAAGCGATGGCAACATTCTTCAGGAGGGAGAAAAACACAGACACAATTATTTGTCGATTTCCAGGAAAATATGGGAAAATATGGGAAGTGGTGGGGAAGACAAAAACCCAGAAAATATGGGAAAATATGGGGAATCCTTTTATTTGTGTGTATTTATTTGTGTGTCCCAGGGCCCCTTCAATTCTGTGGGTTCAGAGTTTCCGGAATCGGCCATATGCGCACTACACACGCAGTCGCGATTGACAGGGATGGATCGGAGGAGGAGGAGAGGGTCACCCATACCGCTCCCCTTCCCTCGTTTTCGCCTCTCGGGGCCTCTCCTGGGAGGCCCTCGTCGCCACCGCTGGATCCGGAGAGTAGCGGTATGGGTGCCGCTCTGCTTCCTCAACGAAAGAACACCATTGTTGCTCGGCATGCTAATAACGAGGACGCCCACGGCGAATCACCGCCGCCCCCTGCCTTCCGGAAGCACACGTGTGGCAGAGCGTTGCGGCCCGAGCTCGGTCAGGGTATCGGACTCTGTGCACCCCCCCCATCCGTTGCGGAAGCCCTTCGGGGAACACGCGGGGAGAAAGAAGAGCAAGAGGAGAGACAGGAAAGGAGGAGGAGGCCACGAAAATGGCGAGCACCCGAGCACCCGTCCCACCATCCTTGATGGAAAATTCATCACGCTTCGCGTATCCCCACCAGCCCGTCCAGGAACGACGCCCAGGCGAGTAGAAGGTCGTCCTGATGGGCTTTTCGGCGTCTTGGGTGCCTCAGGGGGCCTCTTTGGGCCGTTTGGGATCCTCTTGGGGGCCTCCTGGGGGCCTCTTGGGGCCATCTTGGGGCCCCTTGGTGCCTCCTGGGCGCTTCTTGGGGCCATCTTGGAGGAAGGCGATCAAAGTAGAGGGGAGCTTTAATTAGCGCTGCCCCCTCAGAAGGCCAAAATGGGGCCAAAACCTGACTAAAATTAATGATTTTGGCTTGAAAGAAGAGGGGAGCTTTAATTAGCGCTGCCCCCTCAGAAGGCCAAAATGGGGCCAAAACCGTAGTAAAATCAATGTTTTTGGCTTCAAAGAAGAGGTTTGTTTTTTTTCTCCCTCCCCCCGTCGGGGCCAGAATCCTCGTGAGGGGTGTCGAATTTTAGCCCTCCCAGGAGTCGAAAAAGACCCCTCCAACCACCCGCGGGACGACCTCTCCAGGCCCAGGGGGAGGGGGTAGGGGGAGGGGTAAACCCCTCCCCGAAGGGGAAGAAGGGGGGTTGAGAACAGAGAGAGCTCCCTAAACCACTCACGCCCAAAGGGCTGGTGGGACTAGGTGCGGTGGACACAGCCAGGTAGTTGTTGTGTAAAATATACATCCAAAACAAAAGCAATGTCCAGAGGACGGCGGTTGGGTAGTTGCGGGGTAGTTGCGCAACTACCCGGCCACCATTCCTTGTCAAAAATGCAGTGTGGTGGGCGTTGTTGGGTCCTTGTTGTGCTAGTTGTATACCGCCATAGCACCGATGACTACCACCCCAGGCTCCTTGTGGCGCACGCTGGATGCTTGCTTGTAGGCGTCGAGCTCGGTTCCACTAACCAACCTTCATTGCGTTCTCGTCCGCCTGGCGGGAGGGCCGGCAGAGAGCCAGTTCTGCCGAGGGGCGCGGCAGCGGGGCAGCTGCGCCGCCGTCGCGCAGTTGCTCGTCGCCGCCCGCCCCGCGGCATTACGTCAAGCTGGCCGACGTCGACGTCGCCGCGGCATATTTTTCGCGGGAGACATGCCGGGCAGCGTCCACCACGTTTTTTTAACGGATGGTGGCCAGGTAGTCGCGCAAAACTACCCGACCGCTGTCCTCTCGACCTGGTTCCCGAATCAGAGCTTGCCGCTGTAGGGGTCCTAGCGGATTCGCGTGGTTAGGTGAGCTGGGCCGCCGGTTTCGG